TTAGTATTCTGATGTGGTTGCTTCTTTTAATCTCACTGATCTCTGAGGCCGTGCAGTTGGGTTATGTTGCCTGGGTTTTGGGAAATCATACATGTATGCATTTTAAATTACTGTCTTGGTGGTTTTACAGTATTCGACTGTGATCGACTTCTGGAGGTTCTCATCCCAGATGCCTCACAGGCTTTTACAAGTCAAACCTATACAGCTATGTAGAAAGAACAATAAAGAGACAGAGTGGAGGTGCAGGTTGGCTGTGTGGTTGTAAAGCTTTCCACATGCTCTGCATCAGATTTAGGACAGTCAGCTTTTATACTTTTCTCCACTGTGTCAGAACCATTCCCTGCTTGACTGACACCATATTGATTTAAGTTTGAGTGTCCTTTTTATGTTTGTTACAGTGCAGAACCCCTGTGCACTTCAGAACGGAGGCTGTATGCACCAGTGTCGGGTTGATGGTGGCAAAGCTCAGTGTGACTGTAAAGCTGGTTACATCCTCGCTGAAGACGGGAAAACCTGTGAAGGTAGGTTCAACAGTAACTGTAATAATAATGGCTTTATAATGGTTATTATGGAGCCCAGAGTAAATCAGGAGTCGAGTATATGAAATATAAGGAGAAACCTGGAAAATGCTGTTCAGCTTCTGATCGTGTTGCACAGACTCACTTAGCAGGTAGTTTACCCACCATTCATGGAATTGTAGGTTTTCAAGATTTTCCGGACACTTTAAAGACTTCCTGGTCAGCTGCTGACGAAGCTTGTGTGATGGAACTCAAAGTTTCAGAACAGCTACTAAATGGTCAGCGTTTTAAAAATGTATCGTCAACTACTGTTTCCAAATCTATGGGAGGAAAAAGTGAAAATAATTTGGGAGAGAATGTGGTCAGAAACACATATAGTACATAAAAACAAGTAGACCGTTGAAGAAATGTGATTTTTGTAAGTGAAAGGTGAAGTAGATTCACAGAATTTGTAGCCAGTGTTTCTATTTCTGTTTTCACACACTCTGTTAAGCGTGTGAAAAATGGGTTTCAAGTGCACAAGTGGATTTGATTTGTGACAAGCACATGTTGAGCGCCGGCAAATGTAAATGAACCTGGGCTGACCACACATATTTCTCTGTATAATTCATATTTTTAAACAAATTTTTCCACAGATGTTGATGAGTGTGAGACAGAGGAGGCCAGCTGTGCTCATGGCTGCCACAACACTCTGGGCTCTTACACCTGTGTTTGTAATGCTGCCTATGAGCTGGGAGCCGATGGAAAACAGTGTTACAGTCAGTTCAAACCAGCCCATCTCAGTATTGCTACATGCATATACAGTATTTAGTTGGTACAACAAATTACCACAGTCTGATCTCACTGTGGCCTTGTTACAGGAATTGAGATGGAAATAGTGAACAGCTGTGAGAACAACAACGGTGGCTGTTCACACCTCTGTCAACATTCCACCAGTGGGCCTGTCTGCGCCTGTAACCATGGTTACAGACTAGACGAGGACCTTAAAACCTGTGTTGGTAAGAAACTGTAATATACTCCCACTGACCTACAGTAGAAACATGTTTGTCACACAGCTTAATGCTGAAATACATTGGCACGTGAGCATGACAGTATCCCCATCATAGGTCATAAAGGATCACTGAACGGTTTGATGAGTATGAAAGGATGTGAATCATGTGCTATGACCTTCACAGTCACTCAACTGAAGTGAACACTGTAGTGAAGGACTGATGTGAGAGAATATCTTTTGGAAGAATGGTGTCCATGCGTCCAGTAGAGTCCAGAGAGTTGTAGGGTCAATGCCTCTAGTAAAATACCCAGATTTGTACAGTTTTAACAAATATCTTTAGCAATCTAATTAATTTTCATTTATTTGGAAAAAAACAATGTACAAAAAATGTTAGTAGTTTAGTCTGGCTGAACTTACAGTTTTCTTTGAATGCCAGTTTTTTTTTTTAGCCATGATCTGTTTATATTTGTCATTGATATGATTGACAGCTAATTCTTAAATGTTGATAAGGGATTGAACTGTATTTTGATTCAATGAACAAATGTGACGCTGTATTGATATACATATATCATTTTTTTCTTTTCTTTTTTTACCTTTGAGATGAGGTCACATTGAGATTAATGTTGTGCACTAGGACTCCCTCTGAGCCTCCTTACAATGTCCTATAATTATAGAGAAATATGTGAAAGAAAGAAATGCTAAAATCCTTTCTGAGAATGCTTTTATTACTGCATACTGTAGGACAGCTTAGTCAATGTAAATGATGATCCTAATTACCTGTACAATTTCCCCTTGCCAAAAATACATTTTTAAAAGTCTTGGTGCAAATATTTTGCAAAACAATATCCTTTGAGACTTAACTGGATTTGTAGGTCTTTAATCTATGATGCCAAAATGTTCTTCTGACCATGATGTACATGATGATCTTCTCTCGAGTTTGTTGCAACAGATGAAAGTTTACCAAAGTCAGTTTGTGAAGAAAAATCATCACAGTGCTCAGTGTTATCTTCTAGTTGACCTTAATTGGCTTTTAAAGCTTCACAGCTTGAATGATCTCATTAAAATGTTCTGTCAGTGAAGCGTATCACTGGAGTCTGATCACACTTTTTGCCTTTCTGCTTGTTGCTTTTAGCAGATGTCGACGAGTGTGGAGAGCAGATCTCCTGCTGCGAGCAGGACTGCACCAACTATCCTGGGGGTTATGAATGCTACTGCTCAGCAGGTTACAGGCTCAACTCAGATGGATGTAGCTGTGATGGTATGTTTATCTTTTGAAAATGAATGTATTTCGGGGGTGGGGGCGTCCAGTTTGACCCAGAGAATGTCAAAACAAACATGCACAGTATTCGCTATACAATACTTTTCTTGATGGAGGAAAAGCATTTGAGTCTGTTTTGTGTCTGTGTTTAGATGTAGATGAATGTCTGGCTGCTAATGGGGGTTGTGATCATACATGCCAGAACAGTGCAGGTTCGTTTCAGTGTTTCTGTCACCGGGGTTTCCGTCTGGATGAGGACCGGCAATCCTGCATTGGTGAGTATCGCCGCTCATGGTGAAGAGAGTGGGTGAGTGGGACTCGGTCCAGACCCAGACACATGCCAGCAGAAAATCTGGCAAAGTGTTGCTGTCGTACTTGCCGAGTCAGTCAGTCTGGATTTAACCCTCTGCCTCCTTGGCCAGGTTATTCTTGCAATACAAGTTTCCAACCTCAGTAAAACTTAACTGGCTAATTAAAGGTTATACAGTATATATACAATGTATAATGTATAAATACAATGAAAAATAGCTTAAAGTATAACTAGAAACTACTTATCTCATGGAAATAGTTTTTTTTTAATTTGTTTTGAAGTTGAGACTTTAAGAAACAAAACTATGAAGCATAAGATGTATACTTTTGGCATTTTTTTCTGTCTCCCTGCAGCACTTGAAGATGCAGTTGACGCTCTGTCTAGTGGAGGGGCCATGGAGTTGCCTCTCATTCGCCCCCAGATCACCTTGCTGCAGGACTACAGCCAACCCCTGGAGCGCTATGATGACTATGAAGACGACAAGTGGGAGCTGAGGGCTGAGAGTAACCTGGCAGAGAAATTTGGTAAGCCCCACGGCCCCCCTCTCAAAAAAAGAAAAAACCTTTATCCACTAGTTATCATTAACAGGAACCTGTATCCAATTACCTGAGTGTGACCCCTGGGAGGTGAAGCTGTCTGACAGCTCATTTACTGCAATCAGGAATGGGCTTAATGGTGGGGGTTAATTGCTGTGCCTCATGCTCCCAGACTGTTGGTACATACTGAAACAGCTCAGCTTCTGTGGCACGAATGCTGAGGCTTATATGTTCCAGCAGCTGGTAAAGGTCAGAAGCAGGTAGTCAACGGCTGTGTTCTATGTTGCCAAAAGTTCACGGACTCATTTGACAGCAGCACTAGTTCGACATTTAATACTTGACATTGACAAGAGTATCACTTGAACACTGAATCCAAACCACAAATATACAGTATCTAAATGGACATTTTGTCAGGTCAAAAAATGTCAGACTCTTGACCTGCTGTGTCCTGTGGCCTAATGTTTCCTAATGCTGCTGATTTCCAGTATAATGAGAAATAAATAAATATGGGAACATCCCAAAATAATGTTTTAAGATCTCTTGTTTCATCTGAATAACTTCAAATCCTGACATTTGAGAAGAATTATAGAATGTCTGGCATTTTTGTTTGGAAAAAATGAAAAAAAAAAAAGTCACTGCTTAATTTATTGTTGATTAACTGATGTAGCTCGAAGCAAGACCGCTTTATTAATATAGCACCTTTCAGACATAGAGGCAATTCAAAGTGCTTTACACAGGATCTTGATCTGTGTATAACTTTAATGACAGTTGTAATAAACTCTGTCGCCACTGACAAAATGATAACAATCGGACAGCTGTTAGAATCTTACCATAAAAGTAAAGCGCCTGTCTTTGTTTTTGAGGGCCAAATGTCATGATTAGAATTTAAATGTGATTTGCTGGGCCTCATTCATCAATCTGTTGTTCCCAGTGTGTTTGGATGACACTTTTGGGAATGACTGCAGTTTGACATGTGATGACTGTTCTAATGGAGGAAAGTGTAACGTGCAGAGAGATGGCTGCGACTGCCCTGATGGATGGACAGGTGTCATCTGTAACCAGAGTGAGGACTGACTCGTGTGTACTCTGCCACTACAATTTATAAAGTATGTCCTGAGTGTATAGCAGGGATAGACCTTTTTTTATTTTTTTAATCCCACAGCATGCCCTGAGGGACAGTTTGGTAAAAACTGCTCCTTGCATTGTAAGTGTAAAAATGGTGCCAGCTGTGATCCCATCACCGGGAGCTGCCGCTGTCCACCTGGAGTCAGTGGAGACTTGTGTCAGGATGGTGAGTTAGACAGCAAGAACTTGTTCCTAATTTTTAGTGAAAACATCTTTCTTAACATGAAATGTCTGAGGCAATTTATTGTGAGTATTTTGTGTGTGTGTGTGAGTGTACAGGCTGTCCAAAGGGCTTCTATGGAAGGCAGTGCAATAAGAAGTGCAACTGTGCTAATAACGGCCGTTGCCACCGGACCTACGGAGCCTGTCTGTGTGATCCTGGACTCTATGGACGCTTCTGCCACCTCGGTGAGTCCCACTGTCCTACCATCACCTTTGAACTCTCATTTCAGAAACTCCAAATTATAAGGTCAATGAATGACATTGGGTCCCGCTTCACCTTGCTAGCATTGCAGTTTCCCTTCCAGTTTTAGCACTGTACCTATTATAGAGCAGTTAAAGAGCTTTTAAATACTGTGGTACTTGAGTATAATCTTAGTGTCATGTTTCTTGATCAGAATACTGTTGTGAAATCATCCCTTCTCATTCTTCTGCGTCCCGTCTTTTCATTTCCTCCTTCAGCTTGTCCGAAGTGGACTTTCGGACCAGGCTGCTCTGAAGAGTGTCGGTGTGTCCAGCAGAACGCCCTAGAGTGTCACCGTCGACATGGCACCTGTGTCTGTAAACCTGGTTACCAGGGCAACACCTGCAAGGAAGGTTAATATAATAATGACGATGATGATAACCAACACAAAATAAAGAAATGAGAAGACACCTAAAAAGTCAAAAGTTTTAGAACACCCCCATTGTTCCAGTGTTTATTGAAAGTTAAGCAGTTCAAGTCCAGTGTATAGCCTGAAATGGTACAAACCTAAGAAGTAAACAGTCTGAGGTAAAAGAAACAAAACAAAAGGCACCACAAGAAAATGTATGTATGTAAAGCAGGTTTATTTCTGGGATTAAGTATTAAGTGAACCTTTTCGTCTGCAGCAGTGGACGTACATTAAGTCTTGAAACCTGATGCAAACAATTCCTGGTGTCCCAGTGCTTGTTCATTGCCTGTACTTGCAGCAGCCAATTTCCTCTGTGCAAAGCCAGTGACTGTTACTTCACCCTCTGAAACATTAGTTAGAAAAAGGCAATTAACAAAGTAAGTCAGATCTGTTCAGGGTTTCATCTTACAGCAGGATAATGGCAAAAAAAAAAAAACTGAACTGGCCAGCACAGTGTCCAGGCTTCCACATGAACAGTGAAAGCAAAGCACCTTACAAGTGCAACACATTTTTGGGAACTTGTGCAACGGTGCTTTTTATGTGAACTGGAGTTTAGTTCTAAAAGAATGTCACAAATATTCTTGGCTGTTGAATTAATCAGTTGGGTAAAAACATTCTCTGCTTTGAATAACAATTTGTGTCCAACATGTGTTTGTTTTTTTTATAAAACCTGGTTAGAAGATGACATCTCCTCCTCCTCCCTCATTAAAAAGTAAAGAATTTCAAAAGGCTAATGCTGCGCGTGCATAATGTTGGCAGAGTAGGAAGAACCTGGAAAACATCTGTTATTCCAACATGGAAGTGATCACGCATTAATCCGGTGCTAACACTGCAGTTAAATGAGAGTAACACTGAATACATCCTTATTAGTCCTGATCCGTCGCCTGATGTTGTTAACCTCTGCACTTCAGTCTTCCCTCTATCTGACACGGTGAAAAATCTTGGTATAATTCTTGATAGTGGTTTTACTTTTGAGAAACAAATTAGGGCAGTGGTTAAGTCGTGTTTCTTTCATCTAAGACTCGTATCTAAGGTTAAACCTTTTTTGTCACATGGAGATCTGGAGACTATTCTTGCGTTTATTATCTCACGGTTAGATTATTGCAATGCTCTGTATGTTGCAGTTCCCCAGACTTTGCTTCAAAAACTACAATTAGTCCAAAATGCAGCAGCTCGGTTGATATCTAATGCCCCCAAGTTTGCTCATATCTCCCCAATTCTTCGTGCTCTTCATTGGCTTCCAATCAAATTCAGAATTAAATTTAAGATTTTATTGTTTGTTTTTAAGGCTATTCATGGCCTCGCACCTTCTTACTTATCTGACCTGTTGGCAATTTATGTGCCGATGAGAGCTCTCTGCTCCGCTGATCATTTGTCGCTGGTGGTCCCACGATCCTGCTATAAGAAATGGGGCGACCGTTCCTTTTCTATTTGTGGCAGAACTATGGGTGGAAAGCGAACTAGTGGCCTTTAAGTTGGCCTTAAAGACCCACTTCTTTAAGCAGGCTTTTGAGGTCTAGCTTGTTTTATTGTTTTGTTTTAGCTTTGGTCTACCAACAGTATTTCCTTATCTGTTTTATAGTCATTGTTTTGTTTTGTGTGTTTTTATTGTACAGCACTCTGGTGCCCCTGTGAGTTGGAGAGCGCTATATAAATAAAGTTTTATTATTATTATTAGTTACACCAGATGATGATGTAACTGCCAAGAGGGCACCTATCAGGCAGGGCAGGCTTCAAGTTTCCACATCACACTTTGTGTAAGGTGCATACTGGACTGTTGGAGCCCCATGATTAGCTTCTACACTAGCTACAGGTCACAGAATATGCTGCAATGTCAAGGTGTTAAACTGAGATTTAAGGTGAGCTCACAAATATTATTCCTCCAAAAGATGAATTTGAAATACAAAACAGTAACAATTAGTAAAGCACATTTTTCATACATGGAAAAAAGAAAATTTAAAGGAAATAACCAATAATAATACAAGACAGCAACAGCAGTTATCATTCCCCCCAGTGTACCAGTATAGTTTCATATTTATATCCACTGATTATTGGGACTCACAGTGGCAGATGGTATTATAAGGTGGTATCACAGTATTCATCAGCCTTTGAATACTGTTACTGTCGTAGAGAAGTACTTCATTTTTTTTCCTATATGCAAAAGTTTGAAAGTTTTTTGAAATGGGAACTTAAAAGTATCATAACATAACATAATGAACACGAAGGCTGTTAAATGTTTTCACTTGACTGAGAAATACTTTAAACACAGCATATCTGCATCTGTTTGATTCTATGCGCTCATGCAGAGTTTCGTACATATTGTGTTTATGTTTGTAAGTAAGCACAGACGTTTGTGTTCTGCTCTGAAGTGTTATTACTGTATACTTGCAGTATGCATCACAGTTGTCTTAACATGGTTTATAGTGCTTTGCTTGCCTCTGTTTCTAGAATGCAGTCCAGGTACTTACGGGGGTGGCTGTGAAAAGAAGTGCTCCTGTCCACCAGGAGTGTCGTGCGATCATGTGACTGGAGCGTGCCAACGAACGTGTCCTCCAGGCCATCATGGGGAGAACTGTGATCAAGGTAGGTGGTCTTACAGAGGAAATGCTTTCCTCATGCTTTAGGACTGATTTGTTTTCTGTTTTTGCCTTCCTGTGTTGAGACAAACACCTCCTGTGTGTCCTTTTTCAGAGTGTCCAGAGGGAAGGTTTGGAACAGGCTGCGTCCATCCTTGTAACTGCACCGGTGCCCTCTGTGACAAAGTAACAGGGCAATGCAAGTGTCCAGCAGGGACATCAGGAAAGTACTGTGAGAACTGTGAGTGCAAACACATTAACAACTTAGTAAAAATAACCAGAGAGCTGTTCAGATTTTACACGCTGAGAATGATAAAAACATTCATTATCACCCTTTCACAGTTTGTCTGGAGGGGTTTTGGGGTCCAGGCTGCAGAGAAACCTGCCCTGCCTGTGAGAACGGTGGTGTGTGTGATAAACATAATGGGTCCTGTAACTGTCCTCCAGGTTTCATGGGAAGACTTTGCCAAAACTGTGAGTAATTTTGGGGATAGTTTTCATAGTAACAAACATTAAACAGTCAGTAAGCTGAGGAGGATGGCAGCACTGTGGAATATTGAAATTATGCAGTGGTGCAGTTTGGACAAGAAATAAACCAACATGCTCGAAGACAGAGGACTCGTTTTTCTCCGATGTCATTGGCTAAAATCCTTCAGCAGCCTGAAAACTACCTTGGAAAATATTTTCCATGGGAAGAACAAATATATAAATTTCAACTAACCACTGGCTCTAAAATCTTTGTTTGATGGCTGAATCGCAGCGCAGAAGCTGTCATGGGAACTTGCTGTGTTTCTGTGCAATCTGGTGGAGTTTCTTATGGTAGATTAGTCCTCATCTTAAATAATTTTTTCCTTGTGCAGCATGCCCGATTGGACGCTTCGGTCAAGGATGCCAGATGAAATGTGTGTGTGAGAACAATGCTTGTTGTGACCCTGTGAGTGGACGGTGTACCTGCACTCTGGGCTGGACTGGACACGATTGCAGGAAAGGTAACAGCAGTGAGGAACATCTGTTACTGCTGCAGACCTAATCTAACATCTGCTACTGAAGCAGAAGAAAATTAGGAGCGAAACCTGATCTTGTATCTGACAGAAACAGATGTCCTTAATGTGTGTAACACAGAAACATGATGTTTGTGTTGCAGCATGTGATGCAGGACACTGGGGAGCAGACTGTGCACAGACTTGTGACTGTAGAAATGGAGATGGTAGCTGTGATGCTGTGACAGGCCAGTGCAACTGTGAGGCTGGTTACACTGGAACACACTGCCATGAGAGTATGTTGATGTTTGTGGTCCTGAATTATAGATTTTTTTTTTTATGGAATAGCAGTTTTGTGGATTTTGTTTGCAGAAAAATTAAAAAATTGCTGATGAAAATTACTACAGTTGCTGCTTTCCCATGTACTCAATAGTGTACACTGCTGAGATTCTGCAGTGTCACTTTTGATATGACCAAAACAAAGAATTCACATCCCACATACAGTGACTTTAGTGTTTTGTTTTGCTTCTCATTACCATCAGATTCTTTTTTGCATTTTATATTTTTGCCCAGTCACTAGTTGTTGAGTTTTTGTTTCACATGATTTTTCCTGATAGAAGGAGTTGCCCTGTTGTCATGGAAATGCAGATGGACTTGTTTCCCACACTGGTTTAAACCAACAACAGTTGGTCTCACCGCAACTTCACAACAAGTAGAGTTAAATGTGTGTTGAGCTTAAGTTGTCACCCGCTGTTTCCAAACTCAAGAATGAACTTTGAATCTCAATCAGTTCTTTATCATTTTCTAATCACACTTCACCTGATGTGTTCATTCAATGTAGGCACTACAAATAACGGGCTTATTAGTCAATATATTGTGTGTGATATTCCCTCAGAGTGCCCAGCAGGTTTGTTTGGTGTTGGTTGTCGCCATCGGTGTCAGTGTGACAACAAAGCATCGTGCGACCATGTGAGTGGAGCTTGTACCTGCCAGGTGGGATGGACTGGAACATTCTGCGAGAAGCGTAAGAGAAGCTCCTTGATCACTATGCCAAAGTTATCACCTGAATATTTTGTAAATGCTAGTAATAGATAGTCTTTACATCTGTGTGTTTCAGCATGTCCTCAGGGTTTCTATGGGCTGGACTGCCAGGGGAAGTGTTTGTGTCTAAATGGTGGGAGCTGTGACCACATCACTGGGGTTTGTTCTTGTCCTCCTGGCTGGATTGGTCCGTTCTGCAACCTGAGTGAGTGAGAGAGGTGCATCTCAGAAAGTTTTAAAGTCGACAGGTGCTGGCATCACTCTAGTGTTATGAAAAAAAGGTGAAATCAGAGTTCAGATAGTACAGTGCCGTGTGAGGGAGTTCCTGGAGCAGCGCTGAAACACGGACATTTTTGTACTGTTGTCTCACAGTGGAACGAACGCACATGTGGTTTCAGAGTTATTTGGGAAGTCCCAGCCCAGTCACACATGAGAAAGCGCAGACTTGATGGTCCCCATGCTATGGCCTGTATCACTTACCAGATGCTGGAATTTCCACTTTTGATCAGCAGAGTTCATGAAGAGGTAATGCTACTGTTTGTCCCTCTTCTGGCAGCCTGCCCTACTGGTTTCTATGGGGAGGGATGTAACCAAACCTGTAGCTGTCAAAATAACGGCATCTGCCACCTGGCCAGTGGGCGGTGTGCGTGCATGCCGGGCTGGACTGGACCCAAGTGCACAGAAGGTGAGTTTATTCACAATGCAGAGCTAAGTGATTATCTATATGATAGGTAAATAAGAGGTCACAACATGGCTTTGTGTGTTTTTCATCCAGAATGTCCTTCAGGGTTTTATGGAGAGGACTGTCAGCAGCACTGCTTGTGTCAAAATGGAGCCACTTGTAACAGGACCAGTGGAAGATGTACATGTGCCAGTGGATGGACGGGCACATCCTGTGAATTGGGTGAGACTGAGATGTTGTGATTAAGAGTCTCCATATGTATTACCAAAAAAAAAAAACACCATCAGAGGGGTCATTCAAAGTAGAAATCCTGTTTCATACCTTTGCATGTTGTTTTTAATAACAAGGTACTGTGATCTGGGAACAGCATCATTGTTGCAGTAAAGGCCAATGGGGCAAGAAGCTCAGACAGGTTGTAAACAGGCCAAGAGTTAATCTATATATTTGGAGGTAAAAACAAATGTGAACACACCTGAAATGTTGGTAATATTCCCTTACTCTGCAGGAAGACTATGGAACTGTAACAAGTAATGCAGGTCAACGTCTGACCACTGGTGTTTCTTGGCCTAGTAGTTTTGCTATATTCCAGATCTCAGCGGTTAATAAGGTGAATGCAGTGTTGTTATGGAAATGAACAGTGGACAAAATGAATATAAGACCTAGCGGGTACAAAATCAGAACTTCCCTTTAACCACTGCAGCGTCAGTCTACACTCTACATGCAACTCCTTGTGCATGCTTTCCCCCAGTTTTGTCCTGAAAAGGTTATTTCTCCTCCGTTTCCTTATTTTCTTGTTCAGATCAAGGGTCTACAACTCATCACCACTCATCACACTGTAGCTTAAAGGGATACCACAGCATAACATATGAGTCACTATGAGAAAGCAAATGCATGCACCAATTACTGTTACATTTACTGTTCAAGGCCATTCTAATTGTATCTTGATATAGACTTGAGGTCATATTGATCACCTCGTAAAACTAGCCTAGTCTTATTCAAATGCATCCAGTTAAACCACATGGTAAAGCCAAATTTATGTGTTGGTTTGGGCAGAAATGCAAAATAACATTAGCTGAATCCTGAGGTAAACATTTAAATCGTGGCCTGTGGTTGTTTTACTATGTTCTGGAAATATCTGGCTGAGTTTAATTTGCTGCTGTAGCTCATCTGTTTTTGCCTTAAGTCTGTTATTTGCTGGCAGAGTTGTGTTCCTGCACCACAGATGAGTCTGGTTTTAAGTCTCCTTCAACCCAGCGATGACATTCCAGCTTGCTCTCCCTCTGAGCCTGGTACAACCTTTCCCTGTGGAGCTGTGCCAGGCCCAGCCCCCCTCCACATGTTCAGGAAACCTCTAATTCTGTTGCTGGTGTGTAGTTGCTTGGATGCTGCTGAGTCAGCAGCATCCACACAAATTTGTTGTTGTGTTGCACCTCTAAATGTAACCTAGTCCAGAACACCACCTTTAACTATGACCTCAGTAATAAACATCATTGAACTCATTTGACAATTTCACCAAAAAATGAAACATTTTGAGCTTCATAAACACAGATGTTAACACTTTGTTGTTCACAAGATGAAATGCAACCTGCTAGGTGGAAGCTGGGTGGAGCTCTGCTAGTAATTAACTGTAGAGCCATCCATGGGTGGTCTTAGAGGTGAAATTGTCCATAATCCACAAGATATTAATATATTTCAGGCCTTCTATAGCAAACTTTATTCCCCCCAATTACAACACTATCCAGAGAACAAGCTGATGTATTAGATGGTCCTCTCACCATCGATGAACTCCATAAAGCACTGATTTCAATAACAAATCACCCAGATCTGATGGATTTCCAGCTGAATTTTATGTTGATAAATGCTATCACCGCTGTTTGAAACTGAACATTTCTCTTTTGTACATTACGCAGGTTTGGGTTTGGAGAGTCATTCATCCATTGGATAAAAACACTGTACACATCAGCTAGGGCAACGATAAGCACAAATGAAATCAGGTCACAAAGTTTCACTTTACAGCAGGGTACCAGACAAGGATGCCCACTCTCACTGTCTCTATTTGCCATTTTAATCGAGCCTCTAGCAGCAGGGAAACGACAGAACAATAAAATGAAAGGAATACAAGATACTTACTCAGAACATAAAATTAGTCTTTATGCAGATGATTTATTATTATATTTACAGAACCCCCACAACTCACTACAGGAAACGTTACACATTAACACATTTTCTAAGATCTCAAACTACACAATAAATTGGAATAAGTCCACCATACTGCCTCTCTGAGGATGCCTGGGATTCTGCAGCTTCCCTCCAACTTTGCACAGGCAACATTAAATATCTAGGTATTAATATCTCCCCCTGGCTTTCAGAACTTTTTAAACTCAACTATACCCCTCTGTTAAAAAAAGTACAAGATGATTTCAAATGCTGGTCCAGTCTTCCTCTCTCACTCATTGGCTGAATTGCTACTGTAAAAATGAAAACTCTATCTCAAATTAACTACCTGTTTACAATGCTTCCCACAACACCCACAGATAAATGGTTTAAATCACTCGATTCTATAACTTCACAATATTATTAGAAAAACAAGAAACCTGAAAATTTCCCTATCTACACTTCAAAAGAAGAAATCACTAGGTGGCCTAGAAGCACCAAATTTCCAATATTACTACTTGGCAAATCAGCTAAAATATTTAGTCAAATGGATTCAGAAGGACAGTTACAACAGTGCATGGATAGAATTAGAGCAAAAATACTGTAAAAATAACTCGTAACTTATTTTCAGACCTTCCCTTCCTACCAAACTTTATTAAATCACTTTAAAGCTCAAAGAGTCATGTTATTAAGGCTCATGACTCCTGGGAGTACCATCAGAAGCTCTGCACACTGGTAGCTCCATGTTGTTGTTTTTTTAAACATTAAGGTAAGATTAACATAATAGCCATGATGGCTATATGGAAATACAAGCGCATACATTGTGGCTTAAAATCAATCTTAAACAGATGACAAAGCAGTTGGATTAATGTTAAAGATTATATTTAATAACAAGGTCTTTATACTTAAGGCAAAATTACCAGGAAAAGTTAACATTCAAGAAATTATTAGTTTCATGATGCATGTTTGTTTCTAAAAAAGACATACACTAGTCGATTTTTAAAGGAGTTCAGGGACTTTGACCTGTATACAATGTTACACGTGGCCAAAGAAGCAGAATGACAGCTAGCAGCGGCCTAAACTTATAAATGTTTATTGCAGTAAACCCAACTTAATGTATTACTGCTACAACTTAACCTGAAGATGTTACATTTAAGTTAGTGCAGCTTAAGTTATACAGTATATTGAATGTTATGTTTGTTCTTATAAAAGCAAAATTAACCTGCTGGATTTTTGATGGGAGTTTGGTCACTTATCCGAAAAAGACAAGTGTATAAAGTGAAACACTGTGCGCTGTATTTGGTGCTGAAGAGAAGAACCCTGAACAACAACTTCTGACTCCAGAATCTGAAACGCTGACCTCAGCGTCGACCCAGTCCATCAATAACAGTCTGCAGAAACATTTCCACTTCATGTAGTTTTCACTATACATTTCTGTTACAGTTTTTATGAATTAAGATTTTACACAAAGTGTGCTTAAAGAAATACCTGATGCGTCTTTGACAGTAGTTTACATTTCTATGCCTCTGCAAAGGCAACAGCCACGGCTGGAAAAGTAATTCTACATGGTGTCAAACCTGTACACTTGACCGTACAATTCATTTCTATAGTGTCATATCACAACAAGTCATCTCGGCACACTACATAGTAAGGTCTAGATCTTATTATTATCATCATCAGTATAGAGAAAACCCCAACAAATCCCAACATTCTTTTATATTAAGTGACAGGATGTCTCTGCATTTGAACACAAAGTGAACAACCTGTACCACTGAGTGAATACTGCCCAAAAGAGCCCAGACATCAAGAGCCCAGTGCATCTCAGCCTTCAACTTTTTCAGCAATGGCTTTCAGCATTTTCAGGGCGATTCTTCAGCAATCAGTACCAACAGACATTTTCTTCAGGAAATGCATTTGTCTAGTTACCCTCTAAACTCTGCGGCTACTACCCCTGACTGCCAACTATAAATTACTGGCCAAAAACTAAAAGCTGCAGTCCTCGGCAGAAATGTGACAGAGCAGGTTTCACCATGTTGCCTGTTTTCTTTCTCATGCGTTGTCTCACGTGTTTGATTGTGCATGCTACTTTACATGTATGTTTACACAGAGTGTGTAGCAGGTCATTTCGGGGCAGACTGCCAGCAGCAGTGCGAATGTGAGAACAGTGGTCAGTGTGACAGACAGACTGGACGGTGCAGCTGCAGCGACGGCTGGACCGGAGAGCACTGTGAGAAAGGTGAGCCAGTGAGTCTTGGCAGACTAATGAACATACCAAAACTTTGTCATGGGAACTGCTGGTCTGGCTGTTTTTGCTAATTATAACTTTCAATTTCCACCTTTCTCTTGCTCAGCATGTGAACCAGGCCTGTTTGGTGCCGGCTGTGAGGAAAGATGTCACTGTGTTTACGGAGCTGCATGTCACCACATCACTGGAGAGTGCCAGTGTCCTCCAGGGTGGAGAGGAAAACTCTGTGACAAAGGTAGAAACTTAAGCTAAAGACACTGTGGTGTTCCTGCAGCTCCTGGTGTGCAGAGTTTGTCAGTATTGTATTTTAATTTAAAGAAAAGATATATTTGATTATATAAATGCTTGAGAAGGATTAGACGAAGCTTTCACATTTGGTCTGAAACTTATTACACTTAATATTTACTTAATAATACATGTTCCCTTTTTTAGTTAATACAACCATTGTTTTTTCATATTGTAATTCTATTACTGCTACGTACTGTTTATATACATCTGTCGGTCCCTTTCCTGTTGTTCTCTCTCCTTTTTTCTTTATTCTGATTGTGGGTCTAAGAATAGATTCTTCAGACTGTAAAACCCTCTGAGGTAAATTTGTGATTTACTGTATAAGACACCTGACATCATTTAAAGATATATATTTGATCAGACTTTTCTCATACTTGCTGTTTCATGAGTAAAAATAATATGTGGGG